GCAAGGATCTGTTGCTTCTTAGTGAGGCCTTGGCTGATTGGTCCTTCTTGTTGTCCCAAAACTTTCTTCGTTGTTCCCTCCTCTTGCTTGGGTAAGGGTGGTTGTCCTAGTTTCATGGTTGGCATGATGGTCAATGAGTTGTTGTGCTAACTCCTTGGCGCTGTCGAAGGTAGTTGGTCTTGAGGCCAACACGCTATCTTGAATTTCGGGGACAATCCCAGAGGTAACGCTCCAACTTTTTGTCTTCCGGGGTGACCATAGCGGGACAAAGGAGTGCTAGATCACAAAATCGGTTGGTGTAAGTTGTAAGGTCGGAGCCTGCCATTCTGAGATTCCATAGTTCTTGCTCCAGCTTTTGCACTTCACCTCTTGGGCAATATTCCTTCAACATCATCTTCTTTAAGTCCTCCCAACTTAACGAGTTAGCCACTGCAAGCGTAAGCGACTTAACCTTGCCGTTCCACCAAGTGAGAGCTCTTCCGATGAAGGTGAATGTCGCGTACTTGACTTTGCTCGCTTCGGGGCAAGCACAAATCTCAAAGATTGCTTCGGTCCTCTCGAACCATTGAATTAGTGCGAGGACACCCCACTTCCATCGAAGGAATCGGGTTTGCCATTTGTGAAGTCCTTGTAAGTGCATTCCCTTGTGCGTCCTGCACTATCCCCGTGGTTAGGGTTTGTGGCTCCAGATCCAGCACCACCAGTGCTATTTGTGCCAATTTGTGACATTGCAGCTACCACGGCTGCTGTTACCGTAGCTTGGAACATTTTCGGGATCAAACTGGGGAGGTGGCGTCGGAGGTGGTGGCGCTGTGCTGCCCGAAGGTCTGGGTCTTTTCCTTGGTGGCATCGTTCTGTCATGAGTTTGCAAAGAGGAAAAATGATCAGATGGTAAGTTTCTACTAGTACAGACAAGTCAGTTGTTATAGAATTAGATTTTTCCTGCATTATTCTTCGATTTAAGAATTCCTTATATGTTATTCATAAAGGAAGTCCATATGAATGAACTTCACGAGTTAGTGGGTTTTGTGGTCTCTCTTAGATTTTTCACGAGTGTGCTCAAGGCGATTGGTGCGGATCGTATGTATTCTTGCATTTGCATCAACCTCTGCGATACTATGGAGAGTTGTTCTACCCAGAATCTCGTTTCGGGCAACTCTATGGACCAGGATTGGAAAAATTGTATCTGCTGAGCTTCCTTCGTTTATGTTGTAGAAACTTCGTTCTCTATTAAACGACGTATGTTGGTCTTGTTCTTCGCTCCAGGTTTCCAAGCACTCTACCCAAGGAGGCGTCGGGCCTTGAAAAGTTGAACAAGGGTTAGGATTGGGAACAAGAGTCATCGGGGTTAAGTTCTCCACTTCAGAGTCGGAGTCAGAACCATCAACATAGCCTTCAGTTTGGTGACCATTTCCAGGGGTTGGGAAATCATTCTCTGGCTCCTCTCCGAGCCATTTGGTATTGTCGCGGTTAGGGTAGTACGGGTCGTCGTGTGGATGGAATCCAGCCATGATATCTTCACGAGAAATGGGGATATAAGAAATAACTAAGCAAACGTACTAATTAGCTAATTATACGATGATCTTTATCAGGTACTTCAACAAATTGTTTAGTGCATACTAATTATATGTATTCGGGACAGGATAGACCTTCGAATAAGCGACCCTAACTCTAAATCCCCAATCCAACGAGAACAGGAAGTAGAGCAAAGATCCACAGATTCTAAGTCTATGACGTCCTGGATACATAAAATTTTAATGTATCCACTAAGCAACTATTGACCTATTGATAAAGATCTATTTAGTTCTCGCAGATGAAATTTTAATAATGCCAAAATACCCCTATGGTATTTCATTGTGGTAGTGTTGGTAAGTTTTTAGACTTGTTGCCACATCACAACCATTCTTGGGCATATGCTAATCACTCCTCGGACCAGCATAGTTGATCAGGCTATGCCATTCCCAAGACTGATCATACATCCCCAGGCTTACCTGTGATATCCAACAATCATTACTTTTGTTTTGTCCTAAAATGATGCTGACCTTAGTATGTATGCATGCATGTATACTTTTAACAAAAGTTATTTATTCTTAAAGGTATAGTGGTTTTGAAATCTTAAAATCAGAGACCTTAGTCCCAATGCATTTATAGTTTGTATATCTTATGTGGTTCGATATACTTAGTTCACTATAAACAATGCTCTGATACCAATCTGTCACACCCCCAAACCAAGGATGGCGGAAACGTCTGGGGGTGGAGGACTTCATGTACAGTATCACAACAACGTGTATAATAGTGCTCAAAGTAAAAACAACCACCATATATATAATTGCAAAAGTTACACCAAAGTATATGTTTATATGTTTCAAAAGCAATTACATTATGATGACAAAATAAATTGTTGACGGTTTAGCGTCCCATCCTCAAAGCGATGAAGTTTTCCTGTTTCACTGATTTCCTGAGAATACAAGTAGTTTTAAAAAGTGTCAACACAAAGGTTGGTGAGTTCATAAGAGTTTTGTTTGAAGTAGAACCCGTTTTTCCTTGTAAAATCGATAGAGTTTGATTTCCAGAAAATCCAATATTTTCTTAGTTAAGTGTGATTAGAAATAATCCTACATGATGCATTAATGAACCCTAGAGTAACCCGTAGAGTTCCTCTATAATCGTCCAGCGTATAAAAGTTATATAAAGGGTTAAATTAGATAAAACGTTGAATATAGTGGGTCTGCCCTAGGTCCACAACCCAACGAGGAACAGGAGATGAGGCGGGCACCACCAATTCTAGGCCAATCAAGACTAAATTCTTATATGACTCAAACATATACGCTCAGCGACTATAGTTGAAGTCTAACAATTCTAGAGGAAGTATAGTTTTAATATCATAATAACTTTGTATAGAGACCCGACACTTTGCATTTGTACCCATAGAGATAAAAGGTGATTTTAAATCGACATAAAACTCATTTAGGTTTTAAAAATAAAATCCCGTAAACTTATGGATTGTTCCCTATGTGAGCCGTTATAATCATACTATGACTATGTGAACCTGCCACGACGTTCTCAGTGTCGCGAAAAATAAAATGACATTTGTCACCCGTAGACCTACAGGTCCAACTGTAGCTAGCAGCAAGGTGTGGGGTGTCAATCCCAATATAGATCTATATACAAGTATCACGTTCTCCCTCAAGGAGATTCTGATTATAACTACCAGGAATTATATCCCGCACTCGGACGTACGGGGAGAGAGAGAGAGAGAGAGAGAAAAATAGAGAAACTCACAATATAGGATAACAAGTTTACGTGAAATGTGTGTGAATATAAATATTTCTTGTATGAATGTACCCTTCTTGTACGAGTGCGTAGAGTGATGTATCATAAACTATACCTATTATAGTTTATCTAAAATGTATGTAATGTGTATGAATTCTTTTATGGAAATGTATTAGTGATGTGAATTTATCAACTATACTTCTTATAGTTTAATATACATGTTCTAAAATGAATGAATAATATTTAATATGAATGACTTAGTTTCAGTTCATAATGATAAACTAGCAAGGAAACACATTCAAATATTAGAACTTATGATTATACACTTTGCTCAACATAATACAAAGTGTTATGATATTTACATGCTGTTGGCAAAATTTAGCAATTCTGCCCTGTTTTGGAAAAATCATAGAAAAATCATACGAAGTCGAAAACTAGATCCGTAAATTCTGAGAGTTCACAAAATGTGTCTAGTTTGCTCATAATTTTTATCACAATTTATAATGACCTCTAACTTGGGTGAAAAAGTCCATAATCACAGACTGGTCCGGATTGTTGTTTGAAATGATAGGCAGTTTTGTAAAAATCACCATAAATTGTAGAAAAATCGTATGGAGATGTGCAAGTAGCCATTTTAAAGCTAAAAACTTGAACTATTTGCACCTTGTACAGTTTTGAAAACAAAAATGTTTAAGATGCCCAAAACAGTCCATGAATGGAGTTGAACGTTTCTGATGAAGGCTGTTAGAAAAATTTAGATATGTTCTTAGTGTTTTAACTTGTATTCCCCCCCTGAAAACTTGAGAAAACATGAAAATGTAGGGGTATGAACTCACCTTGAGTGATTTCAGTAGATGATTGTTGAAGAAGAGAAGTGTTCAACCCAAGAACATTTGAAGAATCACTTGAAGATTCGAAGCTCTAACGTTAATATGATGGAATTTGCATAAGATATTCATGATTTGAGTAGAATGAAGTGAAATAATCATAAGGAGGATGAATTATACTTACTAAGAGTGGAAGAACACTTGAAAATCAGCCTTGAATCTCGAAATTGGAGTGGGAAAAGTTTGAGAGAAAAGTGGTGTTTGATTCTTAGTGAAATGAGGGCAAATGAGAGAAATGAGGAGAGAGGATGAATAATCAGCCCTCAAAAACGTGGGAAGAGGGATAATTGAGTGGAAAAGACATTGATGTGACCTAGGTAAGGTGGAGAGGTGTGGTTAGTCAAAGAGTGGGTGTGAGGTGGTTGCTTGTGACTTTGGATAAGGCAAAGTCAACACTCCACCTTTAATAATTCACCCATTTGATTTTTATTATTTAAATAATGATTTTCATCAAAATATGTTTAAATTATGAATATTTAGAGTTTATAATGTTAAAATATAATTTCTGGAGAAAATCCCGCTTTAAAATCATGAAAAACGGGCTTAAAATGTCAAAAATATCAAAAATGGGCTAAAAGTGGCAAATATGCGAAATCTGGCCGAGGCTCGGCCTTCTGGTGCTGAACCGAGAGAGAGAGGGAGGCAGAACCGAGAGGGAAGAAGAAGGAAGGAAGGAGCCGAGAGGGAGAAGGGAGAGGGTAGGAACCGAGAGGGGAGGAGAGAACAGAAGGCGCGAAGAGACAGAGCGAGAAGCGAGAGAAAGCGGGGTTCGGTTTGGGAGTAAGAGGCGAGAACGCCAGAATCGAACGTACTGT